GTTTTAACAGTAGTTTGTCATGTACCACTGAATCAAAGGTTTTGCAGAAGTCTATGTAAGTTGCATCTATTACATAACACAAAATATTTTTAAAGAAAGCAACTGTCTGGAAAGAATATTATTTTTCCTAGGGGGACCACACTTTATGCTGATATCTTACCCACTTTAATTTCTCACTTGCATCATACTGTTTTACCAAGATGAATAAATTGAGATTAAAATTATACATTTATACTTACATGTATTTCATACACACGCATTTTTCCCATAATATAATGTGACTTATGTTTAATTGTCCTATCAAAAGGACCATGAATTTTAATAAAATATATTCTTGAAATGTTCTTAAAAAGCCAAATTATACAGTATGCTAGGTTAATATATTTTGTTCTTTTACTAGAAAGGTAGACAAAATGCTTAAAACGAAAATTGTTTTTACCTCTGAACAAAAACAGACCCACAAAATACCACTTCTTATTACTACACAACATATTAAAATACTGTACCTTTACAAATAATAGAAGCTACATTTGTGAAATTCATGGTCAATGATGGCAGCATTATTGGCTCAAAAAGCAAAGAAAATATTTTTTCCTGGGTCAAATGTTTTACATCCTGTAAAAAAAGGAAATTATACTGTTACATCACACTTATTACTATCGTAGTTGCTATAAACAGGCAAAATTTCAAGTCCCTGCAGTTAGTCCCATCAAGCCATTCTTATTCTGAGCTCGTACTACTGAACAAAGCCATTACAGTTTCAAGTCTGTTAACGTAGTTTTATACTAAGAATTAGCACCAAATTAGAAAATTCTTCTGGGTCTTTTTAAGCTATCACTTCCCCACTCCCTACTTATGCAAATTCTTTCATTCACAAATTTACACAAAAAGTTATGTCCTAATCTCCTTTTCAATATTCATTGGAATTGATTGATTTTTCTCCTTTGTTCAGAAGAGATAGAAAGAGGTGGTTGGAATGTCTAATTATGCATAAAGAGAGTGAACAGAAAAATATTTCCCCAAATGGAAAACTTCTTTGTATCTCTCACTCTCCTTAGTCTGCTGGAAATCTACACAAAACTTTCCACTTCTCACTTCATTGGCTAAAAGATTCTTGAGTAAAGCAGCCTTTCCACAAAAGTATTTGGTCATCATCCAGAGAAAAAGATACTTAAGGGACAATATTGTTTTGATTTTACTACTACTACTACTATACTTTTATTCATTAAACCTGAAACTCAGCCAACTGAACATTTAAAAATGTATCACACATATTATTGACTGGCACTGATGGTTGATACTGTTTGCTGCCAGCGTCCTAGGTATCAATCAAGTATCTTCTTAAAATGTACGATCTCTGAATAGCGCAGTTTTTTGCAGTTCCGCTGGTGTTTTTGCAGGAAGTGTCATCATCTTCTTCTTCTTCATCATCATCATTATTATAGCAAGTTTCAATATTGGTTTCCAGGACAGTTCCTTCCTTGCACACCTGATTCAATACTTAAATTCTAATTTTGACGTTCAAAAGAACCTGGATTAATCTCTTTTTCTAAATCAGATTGTGAAATAAAGAATGTTCAAGATCATAAACATGTTGGTAACAATCCTGTTTGCATTTTGTTCCTTGAATTAAGGGATTTCTATTCCAATTTCTTTTTAAATACAATCACAGTTTGCTATATTATAACTGCCTGGGCATAAAGGGACCAACAAGAATTTGTGAGCAATTTATTAAACATAAAAGTGTAGAGCAAAACTAATATTAAGCACAAAAATAATATATTTAAAAATTACCTGCACATACAAAAGGTTGTTCCCCGAATGTAATACGTACAAGATTACTGAAGAACCATCTATACAAAAAGAACAAAACCAGAAGCAAATGTAAACTCTACTATAATACTATACTATGGTCTAAAAAAATTAAAGTTAAAATGGTACTATATCTTGGCCTTACCTGAGGTCTGTGTTTTATCCATTGCTACATAAATTACAAAAAGGTTCTCCAGTAAGTATTGTCTAAGATCCACAAATTCATGCTGCACATTTTTCATTCGGACCATTAAGCTTATTTCTAGCAGCAGGTCATTGGATGCAAAGCAACAATTCTAATATAAATGAAAGGAAAATCCAAAAATGACCACAGGTGAATAATTAAAAACCTATAAACACAAGTCATAAAAGGGGTGTTAGCCACATCAAAACAAAACTGTTGGTGCGACAAGCAAAGGGATGCTCTGATGGCATTCTTCTTGTATGCACTAGCTCAGGGATTTATTTATTTTTTGACAGATACCCCAAAGAAGAGCGGTATCATACATATTATGTTGCTTTCATGTAAATAGTTTAAGTTTAATTTAGTCTATCTAATGATTATATGTAAATTTAATTTATAATTTACATATAATTAGACAACCATGGAAGGGGTAGTAATATCACTATTGATGATGCAATGTTGTCAGATCCACTACTGCAGGGGTGTGAAACTCAAGGCCTGCAAGCCGATCCAGCCCTCAGGGTGCTTAAATCTGGCCCACGGGGCCAGCCTGGAAATAGCAAAGGACCAGCCCACAGTGCCTCTGGCAGCCAAAATGGAGCACGAAGCCACATGCACTGGGCACCCCTGTACCCTGTTTTGGCCAGCAGGGTGCTGCAGGAGGCAGTCCAGGCTGAAAATGGGGTGTGGGGGTCCCCACGCCCTCCACACCCCATTTTGGCCGGTAAGGTGCTACAGGAGACATCTGTTCCATCTTTCCCCTCCCCCCCAAGGCCGGCCCATGGAAGCCAAGTATAATGCTGATCCAGCCATTGTAGAAATCTAGTTTGACACCCCTGCACTACTGCATCTAGAAGTCAGTCTGCAAATCTGAAATGTAATTGAAAAGTTTGATTATGTTAAATAAACAGGATGAATGAAGAGTATTAAAGAAAAAGCTTTTTCGATATTCAACATTGTATTGGTAGAAGAACATTTTTGGAAGCTAACTGCCCTTCATTCCAGAACTTCCAAAATCCTCCATTATTCAGGAGTACAGGTAGTCCTCACAGCAGTTTGGTGACCGTTCGAAGTTACAATGGCACCCAAAAAAAGTGACTTATGACCGTTTTTCACACTTACAACCGTTGCAGCATCCCCATGGTCACGTGATCAAAATTCAGATGCTTGGCAACTGGTTCACATTTAACATGGCTGCAGTGTCCTGGGATCATGTGAACAGTTTTTGTGATCTTCTGACAAGCAAAGTCAATGAAGAAGCCAGATTCCATGAACAACCGTGTTACTAATTTAACAACTGTAATGATTCACTCAACAACTTTGGCAAGAAAGATCGTAAAATGTGGCAAAACTCACATAGCAACATAAATTTTGGGCTCAATTGTGGTCGTAATTTGAGGGCTACCTGTAACCCCTCTACATTTTGTTAGTTCTCCAAGGGGAGTCAGGAAATGAGAGTTATGAAAGCTAGTCTCCAAATGCTACCTTCTACTAGTGTGAGATTATGTCGACTTCTCCTTCCACAAAAGTAATCCAGGAAGAAAGAGTTCTTGAAACTAATTATTACTTTTTTCATAGATGGAGTACTAAACATGATAAAATTAGTATTTTCTAAACACTAACAGATACATGTGAAAGTGCTGATTCTGGGAAAGGATCATTCTGGATAATTCTATAATGTTCCATTCTTCCTCTGAATAACACCAATCCAGCTGTTCTTGGGATTGGAACATCCTAGAATTTAAAATGGCAAGTTTTGCAGATTCTTAGAGTCACTTTAATAACAGAAACTGTGGTGTCTACGCCATTTTAAGATCTCTAATATAGGAAGACAGAAGGGAAACATAGCACAGAAACCTGTGTTAAATAATATCCAGCTTGAAGTTGAAGAGAAAGAATATCTAGAATAAAAGTGGCTTTGATTAACAAAGCTAATTATTCACAGAAGATAATATCTAACAGCAATTATTAAATAATTATAATAATGTTCACTTAGACAATATATTACTTGAAAAAGATCTGATAAAGATAAAGAAGGGAAAATTAGTTTTGAAAAGATAACTCCAGTGTAATGTATACCTGAGCAATGAATCAGAACTGGTGCAAGTCACATCTAACAGAAGCTCAATTTATTGCTCATAGATAAAAGGCTTATATTTGTAAAAGCAAATTTAACAGCAAACATACACGCCATACCTTAAAATAATGATACAATTTGTTATGTAAACTGCATTCAAGGCGAACTTTTACATGACTGACATTCCTAGTTTCTGCCTGAAAAAAATACATAACCAGTAGTTTTATAAAATAGTTCAAGAAATTGAAATCTAGAGGAAAATAAGGAGAAACTGATAATATCTAAGTAGAACAAAGGTTGTGTCAAAGTACAAAGAAGTACTTTCTTCTGTGTTAAAATCTTGGGCTTCCTAACAAAAATAAGAAATTTGGGCCTCTAATTGCTAGACTCAAGGTCATAGAAGCCTTCCTTTATATAAGGTATATAATGTACTTCAGACATTTTAACAAGATACAAATGGCATGTATGCTTTTTAATGTTGTAATGTATGTTATTTGTTGTAAAATAATAAGTAACCACTTGTAAAAGTATTTATAATTTTGTATAATCATATTGTCAAAGGTACTTGTTGAAGAGTTTGCATCCAAAATATAAATTATAAAAACATAATATAAAATTTAATAAATGTAAATAGCATTATTACTAATTTTATTTCATTCTTACATTCAAAGTTTTAAATTTCCACAAGTGGGAGCTATAAGATCTAAGATTTAAATTCTTTCTATAAGCACTATATTTTGTGGAAATATTAATACCTAATGTCCAAATTTGTGTTTATTATCAGCTTTGTTAAAATACAGTTCAGGAGAAACAGCAAAATCTACACTTATACCTACACTAAAAGAATATTTACTAAATCAGTATAATGACTAACAGCATAACAATTGAAATAATCAATCCATCTTTTAATAAACTAGGGCCTGTTTATGTTGTCATGGTATAGAGTAAGCAGCCTTGCTAATTTAAGGCTAGTAAACTTCTGTTACCACGTTTAATTTAGCAAACCTGTTCCCCTTGCTTCTGCTACATCATGCAGAGCCAGTGATCGAGTTTGCATGTTTTTTTTTTAAATTTAAAATAAGGTGTAGACTTATTATTGTCCCTTTTCTATGTTTATTAGTATATGGAAGTGTATCTTGCCCTTTAAAACATATTTATCCATAAAACAGTCAATAAAACACTTCTTTTTCCTCATTAAGCTAGAGCTTTTAAAAAACAGTTCACATAGCAGTCCATAGTTCTAGCTCCATTTAAAAATTTTCTTGTTTGCAAAGTGGGAAGCCCAGCCTTTAGCATGCAAATCACACCCTTTAGTTATATTCTTTCACATATAAATCTAATATTTGTGTTCTGCAGACTTCAATGTATTTTTATTCTGGCCAAAGTTTCTAAAGACAATGACACAAACGGAAAAAATCTTGGAAAGCACACTGATTTGTTTGTGAAATTCTCATTCCTACTTTTTCTACTCTAAAGTGGCCAGTCAGTATGCTAATTCAATTAATTCAGTTCTGGATAACAATCTATTATAAAATGGCCAATCACTATTGATCAATGATAGTGCTTCAGCAGACAAGTGCTACAAAGAAAGATCCATATTTCTTTCCGAGCTGAGGTTCACACTTTTCAAATACAAACCACAAAACAATACGTTAGCACAGTGTTTTCAATCTTGGCAACTTTAAGATGTGTGGGCTTCAATTCCCAGAATTCCCCAGACAACATGGCAGTTGAAGTTGAGACATCTTAAAGTTGCCAAGATTGAGAAACATTGCTCTAAAAAATTGTTTAAATTCTGTAAAAAATTAAATAATATTTGCTAAATTAAAATTAAATATATGATTATCCAAGTCCTGAATTTAATTATTTCTCCACAGTCACATTACATGTTGCAATGTTTAAAAGAATGCAGCCAAGGGAATCAGATTGTGCATTTCTGTATTACATAATACTATGTAAAAGCACTTAAGACTGGTTTAGAACAATTTATGGATTGATCTAACTTTCTCAACGTTGTTATGAATAAGTAACAGCAGCAATCAATGTAATGAAATCCTCAATAACATTTATTTATAAGCAAATTGAAAAAGACTTTTAAAAATCTCATTAAGAAATTCTCTCTTTCTGACAGTATCTTATTTAACAGTTATGTGCCAAGCTGGTTTGTGTGTCAGAAATTTTGCCTGCTCAAATTAGCTGGTGAAAGTGAGTGAGAATTATGTCAAAGCATAGGTGCATGAGAAAGCAAAACAGTTAGCTTTATTTTTAGAGCAAAAACCTCAACACAACGGAAACACTTGTCTGCAAAACCACAGCCCTTTAGTTATTGGTTATTTCGTCAATAGGGTTATTTTTCCCACCATTTGCAAACTCATTATTACAATCTTCAAATGTCAATACATTTACCCATTCTCAATTTCCAGGTCACACCTAAAACTCCAATTAATACTCTACTTAATAATGGGCATTAAGAGTAGTAGATTAAAAAAAAATACAGTACCAGTGTTTGTGAGATCTGAATACTATTGATATGTGGAAACAGCAAATAAGTGTTTGCTAACTCCTGTTTAGAATCTTCTGAAATGGCCTCTGAAGTTCCAGTCCCAAATACCTAGTGCAAAAACAGCATGTTATATTAAATATTTCTATCAATAAATGTAATAAAGAACTGCAGTCTTTTACAAAAACTTTTATATAATGCTATTTTAACAATAAATAAGATGTTGCGGTATTAAAATAGCAAAAAGATATTGTTGCAGTAAACAGAGAGTACAAATAAAATTTCCTTTCAGGAAACTTCAGATTCAACTGACCAAAATTTTATTTTGAACATCACACCTACTCCCTGCCTAAACAACAAATTATGTTTCTTACAAAACAGTCCTCAAAACTTTGTAACATAGTTTTGTGTAAAATATTAAATTAATATTTGTATTTGTTTGCATTTTGCTTTAAATTATGCACATGATGTGCCTGCAAATGATGCAAAACTGGCAATGAAGTAATGGTGTAAATTTTGCCAATTCAGATTTAACAGAACTTCAGATTTAATTACACTTTTTTCTCCATTGTTTTATAATTATAAATCAAGATTTTACTGTATTGTATTGGCATTAAAAGTGTGTAAGTGTGCATTCATGCATGCATGTTCGTGTGTGTGTGTTCAAGACATGCATGACATAATATTATTACTGGAATAGATAAAATAGATAATCCTTCCTTCAATATATTTGAACCAGCTATCCCATCTAGCTTTCACTTTTTGTAAAACAAGCAAACAGACCAAATTTTAATTTAAAAAGTGAAAGTTGATATACCATTTGCCCTCTTCATGTATCCCTAAAAAGTGTCACAAAGTAAAGAAGCAACAACTTTTCTGAACTCTCATAGTAGCTGCACAGTCCTAGTAATTTAGGTAAGGGGTTTTGTAGTGTACTATGCTCAATTTTCTATTTCCCTAAGCTACTGTGATTATCATTTAAGTTCAGAAAAAGGTATCATTCCTTTAAGGATAGCCAACAGGTGCAAGGAGAGCCAATTTGGTCTAGTTGGTAAGCCACCAGGGTTAGGGTTAGGGTTAGCATTGCAAATTCTAGTCTTGCCTTAGGCATAAAAGCTAGCTGAGTGATTTTGGGCTAAGCACTCACTCTGTCTCTCTCTCTCTCAGCACAAATCACAAATCATAGGGTGGTTGTTGTGAGGAGGAGAATTAGGTATGTGTTCACTGCTTATTTATAAAAATAATGAAGGTGGGATAATAATAAATAAATTCATGCCAGATCCAAATGCATGTCAGACCCTTGAATGCCTCAACTCTAAATACTTCTAAATTCATCCCTACTAAAATTAAAACACATTTTGGGGGGGTGGGAGGTGGGGACAGCATGAATATGTTCAAATTTCATATATTAAGGGGTTTTTTAGCACATTGATTAAAAATAAACATATTTCAAACATGCAGGTAGTCTGGTTAAGAAACTGTCCTGTACCTAGGACTGCTTATTATTAAAAAGGGGAGCGTGGCATTATCCTTCTTTGAGCCAATGAAGCAATGAAGCTGCACAATATTTTGGGAACAGCTAAAAACAGGCTATATATAAAAAATACTCTGCTTCGGTGGTTCCTGAAAGAATTATGCGGCTTCAATGCTTTGTTGGCTTAGGAAGGACAGCACCATCTGCCACTGGTATTTTTAGTGATAGCCAGCCTGCTTTTAATCTAGTGGTTGTCCTTAAGTCAGACGGTCTTACCCTGGGGGCTGCCTATATTAATAAGGTATCACTTCTTTCCACAACTTTGTATCAGAATCATACACATGACCCCACAAATTAAAGATAAATATATATTTGAATAAGCTTAGTAAAACAAAATTTCCAAAAAATGCATTTTAGTTTGTAAGATGGATTCGTTAAAAAAAAAAAAAAAAGCAATTTGAAGTACAGGTAAGATTTCAACTATTGGTACTTAAATAGGATGTCCTATTTAAAAATAAACATAGTCCATTTTAAAAAGAGCTTCTTCCCCAGGATTAACAACAACAACAACAACAACAAAAACCTCTTCCTCAAGTAAAGTTGAAAGGAATGCAATATAACAGAAAATGTTTCTGCATGCCAGCATGGTTATTATCTTTTTAAAAATCAGGATGAAAATAAAATTATAGCTTTCTCCTCTGTCACAGAGTTGCTTTCTTTCTTTAAGTGTCTGAAAAGAACATTTATAGAAAATATATAATATAAAAGAATAAAATAAAGGAATTTTTCATATGGTATAAAAGCATTGACTACAAACAGGGTTCTTGAAAGGAAGAAGCTACAGGTATTCCTTAGGTTATGACCACAATTGGGATTGGGGTTGTCAGTGTGGTTATAGTTAATGTCATCTGACCGCATTAACTTACGACAACAATTCTGGCACTCCACACTGCTGTTGCTAACAGAGAATCACACATCGTTAAGGGAGAACCCACCTCAATCCAAGCCACTCCAGGATTGGCCCCTCCCAGACCCCAGGGCTCACTAACAAATTGCCTCCAACTAACCCCCAATCTATCTCCTCCACCCCGCATCTCTACTCTTTTGGCTGCCCTGCAGGCTGCTTGGCAGGGTGGCAAGTGGTCCCAAAACCAGAGATCTGGGGCTGCTTATAGTGTCCCAGGAAGCTCCAGATATTCCAGCAAGCATTCACTCACCCCGCTGTCTTCTTTTCCAATTGTCCACACTAACTTCTCATCTTTTACATTCAGCTTCCATGGCCAAAGCAGAAGCACCTGTCTTTGCTGTCTCCTTTTTGAATCCAGCTTGTCCTTCAAACATCTCCCACATCTACAGCAGCTGCCCAGGGTGGCCTAACAGTGCCAGCAAACCTTCATTCCCCCAGCATGCTAGTCTCATGCACCGACCTTTAACTTTTTGCTGTGTCCTTATCTGACCCAACTTCTCTAGCTTCTGTCTTCAGAAATCTGTTGTCTCCAAAATCACTTGTTTCAAAGATAGAACAGCTTTCCAAAGGCTGTGATATCTTTGGAAATCTGTGCTGTCTTTCCAAAGGCACTCTGATGACAGCACAAGTTTACAAAGACAGTACTGTCTTCAGAAAGAAGGAAAAATAGTAGGAAAGTAAGAGACATTTGCCAGAGAAGCTGGGTTCAAAAAGGAGGCATTTTTTACCCAAGTTCCACATTAGCATAAAAACTAGGGCTATGATTAAAGGTGTTATATTCTCTGATGACATGATGCCTTGGTCTCCACTATAGTGAAATGAGGGTCTTTGCTTTTTGTAAGACAAGGATGAATGTATTATGTTTCCTGGTAGAAAAGAGAGGAATGAGTGTGTATCAAACATTCTGCTTTGCTCCAGCAATAGAACTGCTTAAAAATCAGAGCCATCTACACAAACTATGGAAACGTATCTTTCCCATGCCAGCTGCTCACACTCTGGTAAGACCAATTCTGCAATTAAACATACAAATGAAGCATGATTGCTTACATTGTAGAATGAGTCTGGCATAAAACTTACATTGTGTCCTCATACCTTGCAAAAATAAATCAAGGCCAA